TTTTTGATTGGCCACTTAAAAATGTGCATAAAATCTCATTGGTTAAAAAGTTGACAGCTTGACAGCTGAAAGTTGAACTTGAAAACTTAGATAAATTAAAATTTTATCCGTCTGTACTCTAATTGGTGATAAAAATGAGCCAATCAGCGTGCATGAAATTAGAAATATTGTAAACATCACAACTGAGTTTCAGAAAAACTTATGTTGATCACTACTAGGGATTCAACAGACACGGGAAATTCACTAACCTGTAAACAGACCCACAAGTCAGATCCAGACCTTTTGCAATTTTGACAACTTCCCTGAAAACAAAAAACAATGTTATTGAAGACATTTCACTGCAAGTCATTTGCAGTGGTCGAGGCAGGTAATTGATCAACATGTCAACATAGTGTAATGTAGATCTGCACTATACTGGTAGACAGTGTAGATAGTGTAGTCTACATAGTGTATCCTATACACTGTACTTGCACTTGTAATGGAAAAAAGCAAAAGAACATAAATTTACAAAAATCTAGAAACACTTTGAGGACTAAGTACTATTGATCACATGGAAACCAGTCTTGATTTTCCTGCCACCATCACTAACAGTGAATACAGTAAATAATTCCCCTTCCATACTATTTACTTTAAAAATCCTGCAATTTTTTATCATAACAACATTTAGTCTGTAAGTATGTTTCATAAGGCACAAACAATAAGAATAATAGCAAACCTTTAAAAGGCCATAAAAAAAGTGCAATACAAGTAATTTGGATCAGAGCGGTTTTCAATTGAGTGTCGAAAGTAATCAAGCAATTACTTTGGTTTTGGTTTTGGTTTTACTACAGCTGGAGATTGGCTGAGCAGTCTAATTGGCAAGTAATTGGTTTGGTTTTGGTTTTACGACACTCAGTTAAAAACCGCTCTATGCTCTTGGAACAAAATACAGTATTTGTTTGAGAAACTGATGTTATATAGTTTCCATACACAGCTATCATAAACGTCTGTCAGATGATGATTTTGACCTAGTTCATACAAAATTTCCCTTCGAAGCCCCTTGGAATATGGCTTCTTCTGTTATGCTACCTTTAGCACCAATTCATCCTTTTAGGCTGTTTTGCATGGCTTTGCGTCAATAGAAAATGAAACACAGCTGTACTCATCGGTACAAAACATCGTGTTTTTCAAATTCTAATGATCATAACAAATATACTCTAGATGTAGACATGAACACCTGTTTCCTGACTATTTACACTGACTGACAAATAACACAACAAGTTCTATTAATAGGTTTATAATATGCAAAATGAAGGTATAACAGAACAGTATCAAATCAGACAATCAGGCATTTACTTAGACAAATTTCAAGATTAACTTAATCTTCATAAAGCCTCTTAACTAAGACTGAACCTTACAGTTCTAAAACAGTGGGATTTTAGATAAAAGGAAGTCGATAGTCAAACTCACTATGACCAAGCACAAAAAAAAGTAACCTAAGCATAACATTACCTCTTTCATTTTCCTCTTGATCTCTTCCACATTTACTTCTTCGATAGAATTTAAATGAGGACAGGGCGGCATTTTCTTGTAAGCTAGAGCCACAAAATTAGTTCCAAACAGGAATCTTTGCAGAGCATGTATCGGCTTCCGCGATAAACGGGTCAAGAGGACACAAACTAGGAACAACACTTTGCCTGTCTCGAGTAATCCAAACAGCTGATGAAAATCTTCAGTTAAGACTTCCTGGCCTCTAGTATTTGGCTACTGCTTTAATAGCAAAAGAGTACAAGCTGCCAGCAGGAAGAGCTTCGAGCTTTATACCAAACACTTGTTTAGTTTTTGGTCACATTGTCCAATTGATGGAGAACTTCCAGACGAGTTCTGATTACGGCAAAAGCAGGCTTCTCTTGGACTTCAAAGCACTGTCTTGATGGTTCAGCTTTTCTTCATGTCTTAACAAATCCCGGAAATTATTGATGTGACGACTTGATCGTTTAAAGGTGGCTACACAGTTAGTTTTCGATGAGGAAAAGACACGACTTCGTCCGCCATCTTTTCTCAACCGCTGAATCCCATAGTGCATTTCGGTATTTTCTACACCTTGGACAACGGGATTACTTGTCCCTCGGATTCTTTCCAAAGCGTATGACACTGGGGCGCTTATTTCAATTTAGGAGAAGACGGGGGACGCCTATTCGACGGGAGCCCTTAATCGAGTGGGGGGTGGGGATGCTTATTTAATTTTTACCAAATCGTGGCCTGACATGATCAGTTTTTTAATACATCATCCGCGCGTTAACAACGTAAATAGCTGATACTAAAGTCTAAATCGCGGAACCGTTAGTACTTGTAATTTTTTTTCCAAACTTGACGTGTTCACAAACTGAAACTATACATCCTTTGTTGTCCAGTTTTGATTAGCACACTAAATTCTCTATGGTCAGAGTGATAACTTTAGTTTGTATAGGTAATCATACGGTTTCGAGTTCAATTTGGAATTAAATTGCACGAGTGAGCTTTTTGAAAACTCACAAGTGCAAATTAATTCCAAATTGAACGAGAAAAACCGTATAATAACTTATAAATAATATTGACTTGAGAAAATTCGCGTGGAGGAAGTGCCGGAAGATCTTTCTTGAAGCCATTTTTTCTCATTCGAGAAAACTTTTTTCAAAGTTTCCGCACAAAATTTTTGTCATCATTTTACGTGATATCATTGGCTTAGAAAATTTCCTATTGTCTTTCAGCCAATCATAATCCAGAATTACGATGTGCAATTTGCACTGGTGTTACACTTTTTGCACTGGTGTTACACTTGAACTGCACTGCTGTCAGCCAATCAGAATTGAGTAATTTTTCATTTATATTAATATGTTTTTAAAAACACTACCTGCTGCTACCTTCAAGATACAATGGAACAGTGCTCTAGAATTAATGGAAAGTTTTCACCCCTTTAGATTCGAACTTGTCTGATGAGAATCTTTTCCCTGTTTTTTTGATTGTTTGTTTGTTTGTTTTTGTTTTAATTATTGCTCCATGGTGAAACTGGGGGATACCCTAATTGCAGCTTAATTGTTGTTCATGGGCTTTATTTTTCAGTTTGAATTTGCCTTAGGTGAGGCGGGGGTGGAGGGGGAGGGGGAGGAATTCGAGCCACGTATTCTAACCAATCAAAAGCAAAACCAATACCAAAACCAATAAGCCACGTTCGATATACAGTGTCGATATTCTAACATGGCTCCAAGGCTTTCAGGAAAAAATTCTATGTTTGGTGGTGTTTTCTTTGTATTCAAGTGTCTTTTGGGAATTGAAAGACAAAGGAAACTTAAAAAACTGCAATTTTGACCCGAAAGCCTCGGATCGATGTTAGAATATTGATATATAGAGCGTGGCCTATCATTCATACTTTGCCGCGCTTCGCACGGGTTCCACGTTTTTGCTTCGTCTTCTGATTGGTTTACTGAGCTATTTGCGTTTGCTGTGATTACTTCGGTTTCGGTTTTACGTATGAGCCTTTTTATTACTCGAAGAAGAAAATGAGAAACATGCAGGATTAGTACAGGTAATTCTATGGATGAGAGTGTAGTTAAGGATTTACACTGCGAACGATATTTGAAAATTCTCTCAAAATTACACAAGCCTTTGTGTGAGTGGAATTTGAAAGAATTTTCAAATATCACGAGTAATGTAAATCCAATTTTCAAATATCATGAGTAGTATAAATCCTTAAATGTTCGAGCTTTCATATTATTATTCGTTTATTATATGCACTGTGACGCAAATGAAAAATTAACGATTAATTGGACTGTTCTCAGCCAATCACCGTGAAGTTCAAGTAGTTTTCTCAGATATACCAATAAATTACAAACAAACAAACAAAATTACAAGTTGATATGTTTTTTAAAATTTTTGTCAGCTTGTACATTTTATTTTACACTTGTCCATGGCCATAAAAACTATCCTGATAAATATATATTAGCTTTGCTTTCAATATTTTTAAAATATTCTCTACAATAAATAAAACTGTACTCTTTCAATATCTGCTGAAACAATGTGAAAACAAGAAAACCGCTCTCGAATTTGACATAATTTGACTCAACATTAGTCAGAAGGTCAATAATGCGTTTCTGCGCGACAAATCTGTCACGTATATAACGCAACAGGAATTCCTTGACCAATCTTGCAGCGCAGAAAGCCTTACAAGATACGTGACGTACATGACATGTGAGTCACGCCAAGGTGTGTGACGCAGCAACTGTGTCATCCTCTAGCACTGCGTCAGCGAGTTCATTTTCCTCCTCTGGTGCGTTATAATTTCCGTCTTGTTCCTCCTGTGTGTTAATTTCGTCTTGTTCCTCCTGTGTGTTATTTCCGTCTTGCTCCTCCTGCGTGATATTTTCGTCTTGTTTCTCGTCGGTGTCATCGTTTTCTTCGAAAGCCTCATTTTCCTCCCAGCGCGGTTCGTATTCTGCATCTTCTTCATCTTGCTCGTCTTTCTCCCTTTCTTTACGCGGCACCTTGTTCCAGTAATTTCGCCGCCGTCCCTGATGCTTTCGGTCAAGAAGACGCTTCTGTCGCGCTAGTTCTGGAAAATAGTCTGTCGGAAAATAAACAAGATCAACCATCAAGTTACAAAGCTAACAGCGTTAGACCCTTAGAAAGCAGAGTTACAAAGAAATTGGCATGTGCACTCTTTTTTTTATAAGAAAAATCGAGGCTGAAATTTGCGAGATTTTAAGAATATTTTAAGAATAAACCTCAGGCTGAGATTTTGAAAAGAATGTAATATTTTGTGTTGTTTTTTGTGTATAAAATTCTGCCTTTCTCCATACAGTAAAACTAACCAAAAAATAACAAAAACAGCATTAGCCCTTTGCTAATAACATTTCTGCAGAAGTTATGTGTGTCAGATCAGGCTTTATTGCCCGCAGTCTAGCTACAAAATTACTTCAACGGCAAAGTCGAACCGAAATGTCATAGGCTAAGAATATTCACGAGAATGTTTTCAGCCCAAAATCGGCAGAAAAATAAAAATTATCAGCCTGGAACGGAAAAAGTAATATTCTCATTAAAAAGGAGTGTAAAAAGTGTGTTTAGAGTGTTTTACACAACTGTTTTCTTACTCTCCTTCGAACAGATACAAGCACCTGACTAGACCTACCCACAAGTCGAGCTGGGAAAGCCGAGGTAGGAGAGCGAAAAAATTGAGACCATGCTCAAAACTTGAGTGCGAAGAGCGCGAGGTAAAGTAGCCTGCGTAATGAATCCTACTATTTCAGAAAAAAAGTAGACGTCTGCACGCAAGCTAGAGAAGAAGAAGCGCAAGTTTCGGGCTGAGACTACAGTCTCTAGAACCGAGAAGGACTTAGAGAAATTTTCGCAACTGACTGGCAAAGAAAAAGCAACGCATCTTACGACTACATCACTGCGATGGTTGATGAAATCACATCTAAAAAACCCAACGCCACTGCTTATCGTTTCCAAGTAACTTTTGGTGCAGTTACGTTAGTCTATCCACACACCCTCTATTTTGTCTTGAGTTCGTCGACATGATGAGATCGCAAGCAAAATATCAATCACTGGGGATATGAGCGAGTCAAAACAAAAATATAGGGTCGTTATATTTCTGTTTTCGCCCGCTGCGCGCTCGCTCGTGACAAATACAGTTACGTAGTACTATACTAAGAGATTTTCATATGTGTTAGTATTCTTTTGAACAATAAAATGGTTTGTCTGTAGCAATAAAAAGCAGTACTTACGCGAAGCCAACGCGTCCTTTGCTGCCGCCATTTCTGCTTGCTGAATGCTGCAGGAGAAAAACCGCGCATGTTTTAGATTAGCTGAGAAAACGCAAATTGGATTTTTTCAAATAACCAGTGCAGTTTCAACTTACTAGCTTCCGTACATGTTGTTTAAAGAGTAGATAACTTTGTACGGTGAAGAAATGCCACTGTGCTCTATATAATCTATCTATTTAGCATAATTGTACAACTAATAAATTTGATGCGGTCTTTGAAGAACCAGGGGCTGTATACTCACAGAAAGATTACAAAGAAGCATGAAAAAAATCAATATTTTCTAAAACAAGGAAATAAAGGACACTAGACGAATAATTTTAAAAAATGACAAAACGTCAGTGAGCAGCTCGCCAGCAGGCTCACTTTTTAGCAAATAAAAACCTTGATATAGCATTGTTACGCTTCTTACGCAAACCTTACATAATTCTTCTAATGAAGGACTGTCGCTCAAAAGTTCTCTGAACTCTTTCAACCGTGAGTTTAAGTAACATGTACCTTTTGCCTTCACCAGATCCCAGTCTTCTTCCCTTGTAGTAAACAGCAACTGATGACGAGGAAAAGAGAAAGCGAAGAACTGAAAAGTTTGAACCGGCAGCTTCCCGTTGAAGAGAACGAGGTGATGAGCTACATCTTTACTATGCATATTTAGGAAAAATCAGCGCTCAAGGGAAAATGATTCAGGCTGCGAAGCAGCACTCGCTCGAGTAACAATAGGGAGCAAGTTAGAGGGGTGAGACACGCGCGGCGACCGCGCGTGTGGTGTGTTCTCGCTCTCGCGCACCCCCGCTCTAACTTTCTATTTAAAATAGGCTGATTTAGCAACAGGACTGGAACGTCAGATGACGACTGCAGGGCGCGCAGAATAACCTGGATTCTGTTCTAATTTGACCATATTTGGGTATTTGTACTGCGCAAACCGTCGTCAAGTGACGTTCCCGTTCTCTTGCTAAATCAGCCTAATATTACTCACGCACCCGCCACGCAGACAAAAAGGGAGTGAGCATTGCAGTTGCCGGAAACAGAAATAACTAGATTACTAAACTTAGTGAGGGCTTAATTGTAAGTTATCACCCCTCTCAATGCACTGTCACTAATACAAGCTACTAACTAGATTTTTCACTGCAAATTGTTGCTGACTTTCTCACCTGTATAGTGCTTGTGATGAGCAGGACCCTTGTTCTGTAGAACTCTTAAAAGAAGAAAACAGAATATAGAAAAATTAACAACACAAGTTGTTTGAACTGTGACAGTGGTAACTTGAATTTTCTCGAACCGATCGAGGCAACGAATGGAGTCTGTACGCGCAGGCTAATAAGTCTTGTGTGTAACCGTTTAGCTCTACGTCGATTAGCCCCCAACCGAATTTAGCCTCCAGCCAATAGTCGATTAGACCCCAACCAGAAGTCGAAAACTGTCTATTTCTCGTTCTTTAAGCGTGAATATGGGGGCTAATCGACTTCTGGTTGGGGAATAACCGGCTAGGGGTTAATCGACTTGGGGGCTAAACGACCGGTAACCAGTCAGTGGAATGTACGCCACCATAGAAGTGTTGAACTTACTTGTATTGTGGAAGATCAGGTGTTTTACCCTGCTCACGTGATGTCAAACAACACTGTTGTAACTGAGACTTAGCATCCATCCAGTCCTGGTTAATGATGAACTCCTGACAAGGGAACAGTTCAAAACAAATGATACGCGAGGGAAAGGGGCGAGTGAAAAGTCAAAAGTACACTGAGGGGCGTAAAAGCGATTTCCAGAGGAGATTCATTGCTTATGGGAAACAATCAAATTAAATACATCCAGGGATTGTTCACACTTTAAAGACACATTTACAAGCCAGAGCTGCATAGAACAGACTTGACAAAGTTTGAAGTAAGCAGTAGATGGTTTATAGGTATGCCAAAAAGTGAAAATAAACATAAAATAACAAATCAAGCTACTGAAGGCGTTCACATTTTATAGTTCTATGTGCCGTGAACTATGAGAAATAAGAATCTTTTCTGTCTACATTCCGTATCGGAGCATCGACGCGATTTTCTATGAGGCTAGTAACTAGCAAGTTATAAAGCTTGACCAGCATTCAGTCGGGTAAGTGTTCGCTCTATTTCTGCCGGATAAATGAAAATGAGAAGGTTTTCAAGTGTAATTTTTTCTACGAAAAACTGCCAGTGTTGGAAATGTGTAAATAGACTCGAGAGAGGTTTTACCTCGAGCCGAGGGAACAGACAGACTCGGCAGAACACCTCCACATATCTGAGACCTTTATCCACGTACAGCGCAGCGACAAATGCTATAGAACATAAAATAGGGAAAGTGAGCCACAAATGAACTATTCAAAACGAAAAAAAGTCTGCATTCAAAAATGCAGGAACACTTTACCTTCTAGGATATCAGCAAGGAGTTTCTCGCGAAAGGCCTTGATCCCCTAATGTCGGGAAAAAAATTCAGAAAAAAATGTTTGACCTAAACGAATGGATCAGGTTAGAAGAACGCAAGAGCGTGGAGGTGGCAAAGATATCAGTCAACAAATTTGATCGGCAAAATTGTAGTATGCTATTTCATGTTGACGACAAATTTCACGAGCGACACAAATATATAACACGTAGGAAACTGTTCATCTGACTATTTATTACAGAATAATAATAATTGACACCAAAAGGTTGATATAGAAAAATCACATACCTGGCCTCCAAAGTTGATTAACTTGTCTAGACCCAGCTCTCTGGCGAGCGTCGCCTGGATTCGATGATTGACAAGAGAACTCCGTAGTAGCTGTGATAACACAACAGGGTTGTTAACAAGAGTTGCAAGGAAAAAAAGACCAAGAAAATCATATTCTAAGTTTGCTTCCAACTCAATTCAACCTTGTCATAAATATATGAATAAAATTTTCAACCGATCGCTTGGACAAGGAACGTCCAGGAACGTCCAGTAACGACGTCAACGAGCCCTACCGTAAGATGTCCCTCGTGGTGTTCAGGGAAGTGCTTGAAGAGATACACTGAAACAACGAACTGCAAAACGGAGTCTCCTAAGAATTCCATCCGCTGGTTGTTACCACTGAAGGGAAATGATAAGAACAGAGTCAGGAAAAAGAGATTACTGGTTAACTGAAGGGTGTTCTCCAATCTCAAGCTACTAAGTAGAGCTTGATGTGTGAACTGCTCGCTGATCGCCCATTGGACTCAACCGCAACCAGATTTGTGTTCCTCTGAGCAAATCAGTTAAGATTGAAGATCGTTTGTAGCCTAAACTGAACCTCACATCATAATTCTTGTAAGCATTTATTATCACAATAGAAATGCTATGTGCAATTCACTCTATAAAATGCAAATCGAGAGGTTTTCAATTGAGGTCGAAAGTAATCAGGTAATTACTTTGGTTTTGGTTTTGGTTACCACAGTTTGAGGTTGGCAGAGTAGTCTAATTGGTAAGTAAATGGTTTGGTTTTGGTTTTACGTCACTCAAATAAAAACCACTCTAAACATAGTCACTGTATAATTGCAGAATGTCCACTTGATACTTACAGTGTGAGGTTGTTATAGCCGACTTGTGGGTGAGTGAAAGCACGCGCCAGCAGACGAATGTGGTTGAATTCGATTCCGCTGGCTTGTTCAAACTCCTCTAATTTCTGATAAAAAAAAGTCAATAGGAATTTACGTTCTACTAGTTAACTTGACGAAGATTAAAAATATAGTAACATTTCCATCATCCTTCTGTTAGTAACGTCTTAGTTTCATCAAAATTACATGCTTTCTTGTTTGGTTTTATTTGTTTTTGCTGAACTAAACACCACAGCTGATTGGTAAAAGCTGTCTTCATTTTGTCCCTTCTTGTTCCCATGTTAGTTTGGGCATCTTTCGTCCTTTTCCCCAACCTGTGGGACTGGACAAAGTATCAACTACGTATCTTAAGACAAAGAGTGGGTTCAGAATCAAACTTGGACACGACGTGAACTAGTTTTCCAGCATGTAGACGCCTCTTATTTTCTTTTTAAGCAATTTTCCGGTGTAATCTTCTTCGCAATCCGTAGCTGATTTGTAACTCCTCTAGGCAAATATCCCAAACAGAGGAGAAGAACTTTGACGATCCTTAGCAAATACAGTCGGACGCGGCCGAACAACGTACGATTTTGATCGGTCGGTCAGAGAATAGCATTAATTCGAACGCTATCCTGACTGCTTTGCGCCATGACTTACATCGTGTTACTAAGCAACCGTAGTGACACGGAAAACTTGAGATGAATCTGACGAATTAGATTTCGATTAATAGTTAGTTTTTTTTGTATTTGCCCAACCTACACTAAAGCATAGAAAACGAAAAGAAAACCTGAAGAATCGAAGACGAAGGTATCAGGTGCCTATCACCATCTGGTTGTTGAGCCTACAAGATGACAAAATACGAAGAGTCAACTCTGAATGATCAAGAAAATAAATAAACAGATATTCCATTCCTCGCCCTTTTCCCCTGGCGGATCTAAAGAGTATGAAGTAATCTTTCTTCCCGCCCGCCCCCCAACGAATTGTAAGTTTGAAGATGTGAAAGCAGACAATTTGCAGTGCATGAGGAAAACTATCGGCGAATTATTTACGAGAAGCAACGGCCACGCCCAACGTAAGGACATTTCGGGACAATTAGAACATGAGGTGTTAAAACCAAATTGCTCTACCCATGAAACCCAGTCAGTTTACTTCCCCGACGCAAGGAAGACGACAACGTTCAAATTTTACGAAAGGGACATCTCGGGACAGTCTCAAATAATGAAGCCCTTCCAATTATTTACCTGCAAAGGATGCTTTGGCAAGTTTGTCCAAACATCTCTAAGTTCCTTAAAACCAGACAGACAAAGACATGGAAAAAATCAGAAGCATCTTACATAAAACTATCATCAAGTGGAGGTGAAAAATACGGTGTTCTCCACCAAAACATGAGAAGAATAGAGAGCTTAGGCCAACAGGTTTCTTGTTCGTCTTTCCACGTACTCCGTCTCAATCGTCCCAAGTCTTAGCCAGCCTTGACCTCTCGCGAAGTGAACACTTACTTGACATAAACAAATTATTGCCAATCAACTTCTGCGTCTGTCCTACCAACATGAGGCTCTTAGTGCATAAGGGATGAGTGACAATCCGCGCTTGAGACTTAAAGGCTGCTTTGTGTATCGCTGCTCGTTTTGGAAACTTTTACTAGACTATACGAACGGACATTTAGCGACACACACACCAAAAAAAACAAAACTAACCTGCTCCTCGAAAGCTAGATTAGTGAAGAGGACCGTAGCTGATGTTAAACCACTCTCCAAATACATTGCACCTTGAAAAGCAACAACACTCATTAGCATATTTAACGACATTGCCACACTGTAATTCAGGTTAAGAGACGATAACTTCAGAGAGCACAACTGTCATTTGACTTTATCGTTTACAACGATGATCATATGTAAAAAAAAGCACAATGTTTTTGGCACCAAGCATAATGATTCAGCCACGTTCCGAGGATCTCTATTCTTTCCACCCCAAAGACGGAGACCCACGGAAACATTAGTCAACACCACAGCCTAAATTATGAACACTTCAAAACTGCTGCGGTTGAAGCGAAAGGGATGTCAATAATACTCACCAAGAAGAGCTTCAAAACAATTGGCCATGGCGTGACTGAGATCCTCTTCCAAGCACAAGTCAGGGCTGAAGTTATTTAAAATTTAAAGAAGGTCAGTGTGAGTAGCGCAACAATAACGGAAGCAGGTCAGTGTTGACAGTCAAGTAGGATACATACCCGTGTGAGTACTGCATGTAATCAGACAATCCAAGTTTCTGACAAGTTCAAGAAAGAGTACATTAGAAGAATGAACCAGCAGCATCCAATAATTATCACTAAAATAAGCGATGAAGATGTCAAAATCATGATAGCCTTTGAGATAAGCTCATCTGAGATATAAGTGACTTGCAAAGCCTGTTTAAGACTATCAGTTCACACGTGCCTACGATTCACCTTGGCTAGTTGAGACAGATGTTTGTTTTGTACTAAAGCTGAGCGATACATGGCCAAACCTCCTTCAGTCTTGTGTGGCAGCATGAAATACAAGTGAACGCTAATGTATAAAACAAACAGAACCAAATAAGCCGAAATACAAGATCAAATACAAATGTAATTGCAGAATTCGATAAGAATAATAACTTTCCAACGTATTCTCACCTGCTGATTAATTCCAGAACAGCATCTCCAAGGAATTCAAGCCTCTCATTGTGTCGTATCCTACAAACAATCGAGAAAATACCCAAAGACAGACACAAATTAATGCCCTATGTAGGGAAAAAAGGTAACGCTTTTGGATGATCAGATTCATAAAGCCATGAAAGCCAGTCATTACTCATGAAGGTTAGTGTGATTATCGTAATAAAATTGTCCCAAAATCTACTTCAAAACCATTTTACATTCTCCCGTATGTGGAAGTGAGGGGAGTAGGGGGAAATGGAACGCTGTGGATGAGATACACATTTACTTGGAACCTTTGTGCATTAGTCAGCTGTTTTCATTCAGGTCTGGTGTTAAACGAAAAAAAAAAAAAACAATGAATAGTTGAAAATAAACCGCAAAGGAACAAACGGATTAGTTTCTAATGAAACTGTTGTGCTGCGTCGGTTGGCAAGTGAGCCAATTAAATGATTATCAAATTGAAGTCGATAAAGGTAATTTTACCTCTGTAGCGTACATGTGTGAGTTTGGAGCAAGGATGGTTAAGACTGGGAGAGATTAAAAAGGGTTAATAACAGTCTTTTTGAGTAACGCTCTAACATAAATCACCTTGCAGTAACCTTGTTTTTCTCTTTGGAAGCCATGCTCTGTTATCTTCACTGACTATTTTGTGATTCTTATTCTAACTACCCTGATATCCATCATGCAGAGCTCTACAGGATTAGAGTCTAATCGATTCTGATTCTAATCTAAACTGTTCCAGTTGCCGTGACTTCCATCGCCCTTTTGCTGATCATCCTGCCACAAATCATACACGTCTTCGTTCACCACTTACTATGACTCCACTAAATTGAACTTGGGACAGTTCTGAAACTGTCCTAACTGTCTGTCTGTCGATCTGTCGGTCTGTCGGTCTGTCAGTCTGTCTGTCTGACCGACTGTTTAACCGATTGTCTGGCTGACTAAGTGCTAGAATTGTCCGACCGTCTGTCGTCAGTGTCTGTCGGTCTCTCATCTGTTGGTCGGTCGGTTGACCGTCCTGTCAGTTGGTCTATCTAGCTGACTATCCTACTCTACCTGTCTAGAAGCCAATCCTTTGTCTTGCCGGCACCAATTAGTCTCCTTCTCGCTTTACTTTGAGATTTAGATTTAGCGAGAGTGCCAGTATCGTCAGCAAAACTAGAGAAAGTTTACAAGTCAAGCTCAGCATGACTATCTCAGAGGATCGAGCTGGAGTGGGTGTTATATTTATAGTTATTGAAGACTGGAAAAATATCAACTCACAGACAAAAATTCTGGTTTCATGATCTTCGAAGACATGAAACAGACTTAACTGTATTGTGTTTTTATGCACTCTGGCTAAGAAGGAAAGTTCTACTCCTGCTGTAAGTCTTAAGCCTGGCATATCGATTCTCCTACTAATTGTACTAATTAGTTAAACGCCAGGTCGGAGATTTTATTGGTTCATTAAGACAATACCCTCCAGGCTGATGACTGTCTTCATTCTTACTAGTGAATATATGAAATATCGTATATTTGAACTGCGGAGAAAGATATGAAGACATGATTGATACTGCGATGATCAATCACGTCTTCAAATCTTTCTCCGCGGTTCAAATATATGATATTTCATATATTCACTTGTATTCTTCACCATCTACGGGTATATTACGATCTCATAAAATGACCAGCTCCCAGTTGGCTTGATAGCTCAGTTGATAGAGCACTGCACCGGTATCGCAGTGACAGCCCAGAATTTTCTTCAGGCTTTAATTTCACAACTGCTTAGGTTGTGTGTATAACTGCGATGATCAATCATGTTTGCTTGACAGTGTCTTAATATTATAAGGAGAAATTGGCAAGCGATCACTCTCGAGAATTAAAGTCCGAGTAAAAGGTAGTTAGGATATTAACGGTGTTAGTGTTAACTTTCAGACCCTACGCGCACTGGAAGTGACTTATTCTAAGGGCTGTATTCCACAGAATGACCTGTTTTGTTTTCGCGTGTGGCCGAATTGTCTTCCTTACTCAATGGCAAGAGACACAGCAAAGATCTTATTAACCTCGATTTATCGGTCCGTACTGTAAGATACGGAGCGTCCTTTTTTACTGTCGATGTTTGCGCCTCGTGCTTCGTGCTTGGATCATAATTGAACGGGAAAACGCGGTCCGCATCTTGAAGTAAGCAACTCAAAGTCGACCAATAAGAGGAATGCACTAAAAAAGGTAGAACCATTTCACTATCGTAATGTTCACGAATAATTTCAAACTACTTACATGGACTTATACTCATCCATTTTGCCAAGGTTGGACATGACACGTATCAGCTGGGTGATGCCTGCAGAAGCAGAGAAAATGGTCAACGTACGTGGACTTATACTGAGAAAAGCACGACGGACAACCAAGTCCAAATACAACAGTCTATTCACTAGTACAAAGACTCGCAGAAGGAACTCAGACAATATTATCGTTCAGCACCGACTGATCAAGCCTAATTTAAACATATATGTTAGTTCCAGGAAGACCTGGAACGAAATAGATTTTGAGATAAAACATCTGAAACAAACCGAATTTTAACCCCACCTCTTGGAGTATAGCAAGTTCTTCAGATCAAACGCAATCCCTGTTTTCTTAATACTGTTTTGTATTTGTTGATCTGACTGTGATTGTAGTTCACNCACATACCTGGCCTCCAAAGTTGATTAACTTGTCTAGACCCAGCTCTCTGGCGAGCGTCGCCTGGATTCGATGATTGACAAGAGAACTCCGTAGTAGCTGTGATAACACAACAGGGTTGTTAACAAGAGTTGCAAGGAAAAAAAGACCAAGAAAATCATATTCTAAGTTTGCTTCCAACTCAATTCAACCTTGTCATAAATATATGAATAAAATTTTCAACCGATCGCTTGGACAAGGAACGTCCAGGAACGTCCAGTAACGACGTCAACGAGCCCTACCGTAAGATGTCCCTCGTGGTGTTCAGGGAAGTGCTTGAAGAGATACACTGAAACAACGAACTGCAAAACGGAGTCTCCTAAGAATTCCATCCGCTGGTTGTTACCACTGAAGGGAAATGATAAGAACAGAGTCAGGAAAAAGAGATTACTGGTTAACTGAAGGGTGTTCTCCAATCTCAAGCTACTAAGTAGAGCTTGATGTGTGAACTGCTCGCTGATCGCCCATTGGACTCAACCGCAACCAGATTTGTGTTCCTCTGAGCAAATCAGTTAAGATTGAAGATCGTTTGTAGCCTAAACTGAACCTCACATCATAATTCTTGTAAGCATTTATTATCACAATAGAAATGCTATGTGCAATTCACTCTATAAAATGCAAATCGAGAGGTTTTCAATTGAGGTCGAAAGTAATCAGGTAATTACTTTGGTTTTGGTTTTGGTTACCACAGTTTGAGGTTGGCAGAGTAGTCTAATTGGTAAGTAAATGGTTTGGTTTTGGTTTTACGTCACTCAAATAAAAACCACTCTAAACATAGTCACTGTATAATTGCAGAATGTCCACTTGATACTTACAGTGTGAGGTTGTTATAGCCGACTTGTGGGTGAGTGAAAGCACGCGCCAGCAGACGAATGTGGTTGAATTCGATTCCGCTGGCTTGTTCAAACTCCTCTAATTTCTGATAAAAAAAAGTCAATAGGAATTTACGTTCTACTAGTTAACTTGACGAAGATTAAAAATATAGTAACATTTCCATCATCCTTCTGTTAGTAACGTCTTAGTTTCATCAAAATTACATGCTTTCTTGTTTGGTTTTATTTGTTTTTGCTGAACTAAACACCACAGCTGATTGGTAAAAGCTGTCTTCATTTTGTCCCTTCTTGTTCCCATGTTAGTTTGGGCATCTTTCGTCCTTTTCCCCAACCTGTGGGACTGGACAAAGTATCAACTACGTATCTTAAGACAAAGAGTGGGTTCAGAATCAAACTTGGACACGACGTGAACTAGTTTTCCAGCATGTAGACGCCTCTTATTTTCTTTTTAAGCAATTTTCCGGTGTAATCTTCTTCGCAATCCGTAGCTGATTTGTAACTCCTCTAGGCAAATATCCCAAACAGAGGAGAAGAACTTTGACGATCCTTAGCAAATACAGTCGGACGCGGCCGAACAACGTACGATTTTGATCGGTCGGTCAGAGAATAGCATTAATTCGAACGCTATCCTGACTGCTTTGCGCCATGACTTACATCGTGTTACTAAGCAACCGTAGTGACACGGAAAACTTGAGATGAATCTGACGAATTAGATTTCGATTAATAGTTAGTTTTTTTTGTATTTGCCCAACCTACACTAAAGCATAGAAAACGAAAAGAAAACCTGAAGAATCGAAGACGAAGGTATCAGGTGCCTATCACCATCTGGTTGTTGAGCCTACAAGATGACAAAATACGAAGAGTCAACTCTGAATGATCAAGAAAATAAATAAACAGATATTCCATTCCTCGCCCTTTTCCCCTGGCGGATCTAAAGAGTATGAAGTAATCTTTCTTCCCGCCCGCCCCCCAACGAATTGTAAGTTTGAAGATGTGAAAGCAGACAATTTGCAGTGCATGAGGAAAACTATCGGCGAATTATTTACGAGAAGCAACGGCCACGCCCAACGTAAGGACATTTCGGGACAATTAGAACATGAGGTGTTAAAACCAAATTGCTCTACCCATGAAACCCAGTCAGTTTACTTCCCCGACGCAAGGAAGACGACAACGTTCAAATTTTACGAAAGGGACATCTCGGGACAGTCTCAAATAATGAAGCCCTTCCAATTATTTACCTGCAAAGGATGCTTTGGCAAGTTTGTCCAAACATCTCTAAGTTCCTTAAAACCAGACAGACAAAGACATGGAAAAAATCAGAAGCATCTTACATAAAACTATCATCAAGTGGAGGTGAAAAATACGGTGTTCTCCACCAAAACATGAGAAGAATAGAGAGCTTAGGCCAACAGGTTTCTTGTTCGTCTTTCCACGTACTCCGTCTCAATCGTCCCAAGTCTTAGCCAGCCTTGACCTCTCGCGAAGTGAACACTTACTTGACATAAACAAATTATTGCCAATCAACTTCTGCGTCTGTCCTACCAACATGAGGCTCTTAGTGCATAAGGGATGAGTGACAATCCGCGCTTGAGACTTAAAGGCTGCTTTGTGTATCGCTGCTCGTTTTGGAAACTTTTACTAGACTATACGAACGGACATTTAGCGACACACACACCAAAAAAAACAAAACTAACCTGCTCCTCGAAAGCTAGATTAGTGAAGAGGACCGTAGCTGATGTTAAACCACTCTCCAAATACATTGCACCTTGAAAAGCAACAACACTCATTAGCATATTTAACGACATTGCCACACTGTAATTCAGGTTAAGAGACGATAACTTCAGAGAGCACAACTGTCATTTGACTTTATCGTTTACAACGATGATCATATGTAAAAAAAAGCACAATGTTTTTGGCACCAAGCATAATGATTCAGCCACGTTCCGAGGATCTCTATTCTTTCCACCCCAAAGACGGAGACCCACGGAAACATTAGTCAACACCACAGCCTAAATTATGAACACTTCAAAACTGCTGCGGTTGAAGCGAAAGGGATGTCAATAATACTCACCAAGAAGAGCTTCAAAACAATTGGCCATGGCGTGACTGAGATCCTCTTCCAAGCACAAGTCAGGGCTGAAGTTATTTAAAATTTAAAGAAGGTCAGTGTGAGTAGCGCAACAATAACGGAAGCAGGTCAGTGTTGACAGTCAAGTAGGATACATACCCGTGTGAGTACTGCATGTAATCAGACAATCCAAGTTTCTGACAAGTTCAAGAAAGAGTACATTAGAAGAATGAACCAGCAGCATCCAATAATTATCACTAAAATAAGCGATGAAGATGTCAAAATCATGATAGCCTTTGAGATAAGCTCATCTGAGATATAAGTGACTTGCAAAGCCTGTTTAAGACTATCAGTTCACACGTGCCTACGATTCACCTTGGCTAGTTGAGACAGATGTTTGTTTTGTACTAAAGCTGAGCGATACATGGCCAAACCTCCTTCAGTCTTGTGTGGCAGCATGAAATACAAGTGAACGCTAATGTATAAAACAAACAGAACCAAATAAGCCGAAATACAAGATCAAATACAAATGTAATTGCAGAATTCGATAAGAATAATAACTTTCCAACGTATTCTCACCTGCTGATTAATTCCAGAACAGCATCTCCAAGGAATTCAAGCCTCTCATTGTGTCGTATCCTACAAACAATCGAGAAAATACCCAAAGACAGACACAAATTAATGCCCTATGTAGGGAAAAAAGGTAACGCTTTTGGATGATCAGATTCATAAAGCCATGAAAGCCAGTCATTACTCATGAAGGTTAGTGTGATTATCGTAATAAAATTGTCCCAAAATCTACTTCAAAACCATTTTACATTCTCCCGTATGTGGAAGTGAGGGGAGTAGGGGGAAATGGAACGCTGTGGATGAGATACACATTTACTTGGAACCTTTGTGCATTAGTCAGCTGTTTTCATTCAGGTCTGGTGTTAAACGAAAAAAAAAAAAAACAATGAATAGTTGAAAATAAACCGCAAAGGAACAAACGGATTAGTTTCTAATGAAACTGTTGTGCTGCGTCGGTTGGCAAGTGAGCCAATTAAATGATTATCAAATTGAAGTCGATAAAGGTAATTTTACCTCTGTAGCGTACATGTGTGAGTTTGGAGCAAGGATGGTTAAGACTGGGAGAGATTAAAAAGGGTTAATAACAGTCTTTTTGAGTAACGCTCTAACATAAATCACCTTGCAGTAACCTTGTTTTTCTCTTTGGAAGCCATGCTCTGTTATCTTCACTGACTATTTTGTGATTCTTATTCTAACTACCCTGATATCCATCATGCAGAGCTCTACAGGATTAGAGTCTAATCGATTCTGATTCTAATCTAAACTGTTCCAGTTGCCGTGACTTCCATCGCCCTTTTGCTGATCATCCTGCCACAAATCATACACGTCTTCGTTCACCACTTACTATGACTCCACTAAATTGAACTTGGGACAGTTCTGAAACTGTCCTAACTGTCTGTCTGTCGATCTGTCGGTCTGTCGGTCTGTCAGTCTGTCTGTCTGACCGACTGTTTAACCGATTGTCTGGCTGACTAAGTGCTAGAATTGTCCGACCGTCTGTCGTCAGTGTCTGTCGGTCTCTCATCTGTTGGTCGGTCGGTTGACCGTCCTGTCAGTTGGTCTATCTAGCTGACTATCCTACTCTACCTGTCTAGAAGCCAATCCTTTGTCTTGCCGGCACCAATTAGTCTCCTTCTCGCTTTACTTTGAGATTTAGATTTAGCGAGAGTGCCAGTATCGTCAGCAAAACTAGAGAAAGTTTACAAGTCAAGCTCAGCATGACTATCTCAGAGGATCGAGCTGGAGTGGGTGTTATATTTATAGTTATTGAAGACTGGAAAAATATCAACTCACAGACAAAAATTCTGGTTTCATGATCTTCGAAGACATGAAACAGACTTAACTGTATTGTGTTTTTATGCACTCTGGCTAAGAAGGAAAGATCTACTCCTGCTGTAAGTCTTAAGCCTGGCATATCGATTCTCCTACTAATTGTACTAATTAGTTAAACGCCAGGTCGGAGATTTTATTGGTTCATTAAGACAATACCCTCCAGGCTGATGACTGTCTTCATTCTTACTAGTGAATATATGAAATATCGTATATTTGAACTGCGGAGAAAGATATGAAGACATGATTGATACTGCGATGATCAATCACGTCTTCAAATCTTTCTCCGCGGTTCAAATATATGATATTTCATATATTCACTTGTATTCTTCACCATCTACGGGTATATTACGATCTCATAAAATGACCAGCTCCCAGTTGGCTTGATAGCTCAGTTGATAGAGCACTGCACCGGTATCGCAGTGACAGCCCAGAATTTTCTTCAGGCTTTAATTTCACAACTGCTTAGGTTGTGTGTATAACTGCGATGATCAATCATGTTTGCTTGACAGTGTCTTAATATTATAAGGAGAAATTGGCAAGCGATCACTCTCGAGAATTAAAGTCCGAGTAAAAGGTAGTTAGGATATTAACGGTGTTAGTGTTAACTTTCAGACCCTACGCGCACTGGAAGTGACTTATTCTAAGGGCTGTATTCCACAGAATGACCTGTTTTGTTTTCGCGTGTGGCCGAATTGTCTTCCTTACTCAATGGCAAGAGACACAGCAAAGATCTTATTAACCTCGATTTATCGGTCCGTACTGTAAGATACGGAGCGTCCTTTTTTACTGTCGATGTTTGCGCCTCGTGCTTCGTGCTTGGATCATAATTGAACGGGAAAACGCGGTCCGCATCTTGAAGTAAGCAACTCAAAGTCGACCAATAAGAGGAATGCACTAAAAAAGGTAGAACCATTTCACTATCGTAATGTTCACGAATAATTTCAAACTACTTACATGGACTTATACTCATCCATTTTGCCAAGGTTGGACATGACACGTATCAGCTGGGTGATGCCTGCAGAAGCAGAGAAAATGGTCAACGTACGTGGACTTATACTGAGAAAAGCACGACGGACAACCAAGTCCAAATACAACAGTCTATTCACTAGTACAAAGACTCGCAGAAGGAACTCAGACAATATTATCGTTCAGCACCGACTGATCAAGCCTAATTTAAACATATATGTTAGTTCCAGGAAGACCTGGAACGAAATAGATTTTGAGATAAAACATCTGAAACAAACCGAATTTTAACCCCACCTCTTGGAGTATAGCAAGTTCTTCAGATCAAACGCAATCCCTGTTTTCTTAATACTGTTTTGTATTTGTTGATCTGACTGTGATTGTAGTTCACCAACCTTAGCTTTAACTACCTCATGGTACTTAGACATACCTTTCTTGCGCGTGTGCAGATGCCGTATTTTCCTGTCTCCGTACCTTGGTTGCTTCACTCCACAGTTCGACAGAGAGTTTCGGGCGTGGTCTGGGTTCATGCCAAAGTTGAGGTGATAAGAAGGGTGTGTCAGGGCAAGCTGTTGACAAATAAACAGTCAAACAATGAAATAAATACACAAACCACGCCATTCTTAACCGTACATCACACAAACACAACGATATTTTGTAACTGGTAATTTACCTGAAGTAAAGACCGATCTTTGAACACATAGCCCATTTTCTCGTCCAGTGTTTGTAGACACATGTGATAGCGTACATGATGTACTAACACAGGAAGCAGTAAGGCGTGCTGAAATACACAGAAAGCAAACATTAGGCTGTCACTGTACTTTCCTGCCGCAACGATATCAACATTTCAATGATAGCTGACCCAAAGTAGGCAAGTGCCGATAATGTCAAATCCCCATAAAGCTCTGAAAACGTTTCGGTTATTTTCGTAAATACACTTCAGACAGGTTACTGCGATCAGAAAACCTCCTGCTGCTTAACAACCTCTCCAAAAAGCTGCAGGGGCATCAATTTCCACACAATTCGCCCTCACTATCGAGCTGTGTCACACACTGTGAAAGTACCTTTCTTATACCTATTCCTTAGGCAAATGTTACTTTCGTTGTGTTGCTAAGTAACTACATGTTCGTGCATAGGAAGCATTGAACCTTTTCCTCGGATGTTAATTGTGAGAATTTAGTCGCTTAGGAAGACAATATCGTCTGCTTGATGATTTTCTATATTCTGATCACTTGTTAGTCTAGTTCTGGCTTTCACTCTGCCACGTAACACTCACTCCAGAGAGCGTAAATCTGCCTGACAGGGAGTCGTTCAGAACTGGGCTTATCACCTGCTTTAGAATGTAGTGATATTCTAAGGAGAAGAACTACTAGTAAGATATTGATTACTCCTGAGAATTAAGGGCTAACCTAACCTGACAGATATCAGACTTCAAACCAGTCTTGATCATTCCTCGACTGCTCACTTCTACCACCACATCACGACGCATAGCACTTTATAGAAGAAAAAAAGTACAACGAAAAGATTGTAACCGTTTGCTGAACGTGAAGTTGAAATAGTGTGCAGTCCACAGAAATGGATCCTTAAAATAAGACCGAACCAAATCGCGTCAGAAACGAACTCCGCAAATTAATTGTTCCATATAGAATCAAATCTACTGAAATAAGCCATCAATTGCAACCTTAACATTCACAGATTTTAGTTAGACACAAAAACATGTTGCATCTACAAGCTCACCTTGTAAGGCGCATCTTCTCCAATTCGATCTAAATGAAACAAAAAGAATCGTTGAGTCCTCTAAAAGGGTTTTACAAAGGTAACTGCCGGTTTCGCCCCATGGCGAGTTCGCCCCCACATCGACTCAACTTGATCGAGTTCGCCCCCAACCAGATCGAGTCGTATATAGAGATTATTCCTCGTTCTTTTATCCACTGCCTTATTAGATTACTGTTGGCGAGGAAACTTCGCTTGGTGGCGAGGTGACTTCGCTTGGCGAGTTCGTTGGTGACGAGATAACCGGTAACTGTTTGACTTTGTTGCTATGCGCGCGCCGGCTGCAACAAGCGAACAATCATCATCTAAGCTT